GCCAGGCACAACCAGGCGTTAGCCTGGCAACGCCAGCTTAAAGTCAGGCTGGGGCTGGCGTTAGCCTGGCGATGCCAGGCCTAAGGCCAGGTCCAGTCCGAGTTTTGAAGGCTTAAATTGTTTCCCAGCTTGACTAAGAGTTGACCTACACGTTTAGGGCTTGTCCCAAACATATAAATAGACCCAAAAATGCCACTTTGAAGGACTTTTGCAACCGGAGGCAAGAATAGCTCGTGGAACACTACTTGGGAGTTCGAATCATTGATTTCTACATCCTTTTATCTTTACTCTGTAATTTAATTATGCAAATTACTTTGGATATTGTTACTATGAGTAGGAGTAGCTAAACGCATAATCTAGGGTTTTGATGGAACCTGTTGAAGGATGATTTTCTCGTTACGTTAATATAGATTTGCCATAATATTATCTCTATTTGTTCAACTATATGCTTATTGTTGTTGATTGAAGGGCCCTCAATTAATTGTTCCTATTTAGTGTGCATTACTCGGGGAGAGTGCATATTTAGGTAGCTATTGAACAACATCACTCCTAACGTATATGAGGGATCAATACGAAGGGTTTAAAGGTGGGATTAGGGATAACGAAACCTTGGGTGCGATCCAAGTGAGCTGTACTTAAGGCTAGCTAGCGTAATTTGGGAGAATATGTCTAGTATATTGTTGTAATTACTCGAGAGAGAGTTACGACAGTCAGAATGCTCATGATCGATAGAGAAGACTTAAAAAAATTTATATCAAATGTAGCAGAAAAGATTCCAACAATAGGGGAAATCAGAACCTTAGATCATTCCAATTCTTGTTTACAACCCGTTCGTAGTTAGTTCTTAATTATTGCATTTTTATTACGTAATATTTAGTTAGTAAACATCCAATCTATTACTTAAATATTTCCGAAGATTGAATACATGAATTTGTGTAAGTCCAATAGTTGTGATTGATAGGTTAATTCCCTGTGGGATTCGACTCCGGACATGTTAACCGAAATATATTTGCAGCGACCGCTTAGTCCTTTTTATAAGGCATAGTTGGGCGTGATCATCCTGCAGTAGCATCAATTAGGTGATCTATATGTGGTAAAGGAAAGAATCTTTAGGGCAAGCTTTATCTAAGTCAGTATAGTCTACACAAACTCGCCACTTACCATTCTTTTTGGGCACCACTACAGTATTAGCTAGCCAATTAGGATATTTTACCTCTCGGATAGACCAGATTATTAAAAGCTTTTGTACCTCATCTTGAATTACCTGGTTTTTGAAGGATCCTTGCTTCATTTTCTTCTGTTTGATAGGTGGGTGTGTTGGATCTTCATTCAGCTTATGGGTCATAACCTCCGGTGGTATACCTGTCATATCTAAATGCGACTAAGCATCTGCAGTAGCTTTCAAGAATTCAATTAACTTACCTTTCATCTCTGGCTCAAGTTGGTTCCAATGTAAACTTTTCTATCCGGCCAATGTATAAACAGCACCACAGCTCGAGTTCCTCAATTGTTGTTATGATGTTTTAGTTCTCTCTAGCTCTTGAATAGTATCAAGCCTTGAGTCTACATCCGTTTGTCCATCTCCAGTTGAGGTTTGAGTTGTTAAATCCTCAACTGAATTCTGTAATTGCTATTTTTCGTCTGCAACATCATTTTTCATGCTTGAATCTGCCACTGAATTGATACTTCTAGAAGCCTGTTGATCACAGCAAATTTGTCTAATTCCCCATTGGGAAGGGAACTTAAGAACTTGATGTGAAGTAGACGGAACAACATCCATATCGTGCATCCAAGGTCTGCCAAGGATCATATTGTATGCCATGTCCACATCTATCACTTGAAATTTCGTATCTTTGACTACTCCTTCTGCGAATGTGGTGAGCACTATCTCCCCTTTAGTTACAACACTTGAATTGTCAAATCCTGTAAGGTACGTGTTTTGGGTACCAATTTGTCATCAGCTTGCATCTCATTTACCACTCTTAAAAGAATGATATTTACAGAGCTACCTGGATCAATCAAAACTCGTTTCACATTAGTATCATGTACAAGTAAAGATATTACCAGTGCATCATTGTGTGGGATCAACACGCCATCTGCATTTGCATCATCAAATGTTATACTGTCTTCTTCCAAAACTTAGCGAACTCGCTTTCCGTGGGTAACCGTGACTTATGATACCTTTTTTGCAGTCGTATATGTCACACCGTTGAACTCCTCTCCTCCGCTTATCACGTAACCGTTCTTTTCGGTGACGGAGGTTTTGGTGGCTCCTGCCTATTCTCATATATGCTTGCTTACCCTTCTCACTAAACAAATCAGTTAAATAACCTTGTTTTAACAAGTGCTCTACTTCACCTTGTAGCAATCTGCACTCTGCTCTTTTTGTGACCGTGATCATTGTGAAACTCGCACCAAAAATCTGGGTTTCTTCGGCTAGGGTTTGATCTCATTTCTTTTGGCCAACTCACCTTATCTCCCATACTTCTTAAAACATCTACCAATTCAGATGTGCTAACATTGAAGTGTAATCACCAATCTTTTCTTTTGAACTAATATCTCTATCCCGTGTATCTCGCTCCTTTCTAAACTTGGATGATGAACCCGCATATCTGTCCCTTGATCTGGAACCGTACCTCGGGTTCTCTTGTTTTGAACGTGAATCCCTTCCTGCTGGTCCTATGTAAAGTTCGTACCTTTTCTTACCGGACCTTTTTTCAGTTTCTGGTCGCCTCGAACTTGTTCTTTCATCTCCCCGTGACTGAGTGATAGTATCTTCTTCTATGCTCAACTTCGTGCTATTCCTGTTGTAAACATCATTCCAAGTTGTTGCAGGGAATTATCGTAAACTTTCTTTGAGTCTCCTCGTGGATTTTGAGCTTTTTACATTTAGGTTACTTGCAAATGCTATAGCCGCCCAATTATCAGGTACACGTGGTAACATCATCCTTTCACGCTGGAACCTATCCACGAATTCTCTGAGTAGCTCTGTATCTCCTTGTTTTATTTTGAAGATGTCTTCCATCCTCTTTTCAACTTTTTGGGCTCCCGAGTGTGCTTTTATAAATGAATCTGCAAGCTCAGCAAAAGAATCAATAAAAATTTCTGGTAAAAGAGAATACCATGTTATTGCTCTTTTTGTGAGTGTTTCACCAATTCTTTTGACCAGCACTGACTCAATCTCTTGCTTGGTTAGGTCGTTGCCTTTCACGCCAGTTGTAAACGAAGTTACATGATCTCGTGGGTCGGTTGTCCCCATTACATTTCGGGATATCGGGCATCTTAAACGTTTTTTAATTGGCAAGGGAGCAACACTTGGCTTCCAAGGTTGTTGAGAATATTTATCAATATCCACTCCTTTAATCACGGGTGGCACACCAGGTATCTGCTCTTTGCGATTATTCTGCTCCTTGAGCTGTTTCTGCAAAGTTAGTACTAAACTTTTTAAATCAAAATTAATTGGTATACCTGACCTTCCATCGCGAGATTCGCTGGAAGGTCCTCCACTACCTGAATCGGCGAGTCCTGAGCGTGGGTTCTCTATAGTTGCGGTGTTGTTTGGAGGTGGAGTTGGTGGTATAGTTGGTAATCCACTAACAAAAGCTTGAAGAGAATTGTTGACGTGTTCTGCAATTAGTTGCTTCAATGCATCTTCAGCAGTTTGATCTTCCTCTTGTTGGTTATCCACATGTGATGTTGATACGTCAGGTGACCCTTCTCGGGAGTGTTGAGAAGAATTTCGGGGTGAAGAGATTGGAGTTCCATCCTCTTGTTGATTCAGTTGGTTCAACTGGTTTTGCTGGTTTTGTTGGTTGTTGTCGTTAGCGGTCGACATGATTTTTGACAGAAAAATGAATTTGGAAAGTGAAAAGATTATCAGATTCCCGGTAACGGAACCAAATTGTTTAACCAAAAATTGTGCACTTCGGTCAAAGCTTACTTTTAGAAGTACTCGGACTACTGATAATCAAGGAATTCTATGTTTTTTTTCAATAATAAGAAAGGGAATTAGAACAAGAAATAGCAAAGTAACCGATAAGAAGCAAAAGAAAGTAATTGTATTCCAATAATAATGAGAACGTGCCTTACAAGGAATATATAAGTACAACATTTCTTCCCTTTTATGGCTGAATCATTATGATATTAATGAGACGTTATAGTTGGCAATCGTAACTGTTCATGAAGATTATGTAACATCTATGGTCATTTATGCACATTAATTGACGATTCATGAATCTTCCTTCTTTTCCATCTTGATTTTTTATGCCGGTGTCTCTTCATTTGACAATTCAGATTTGAGCGACCTTACCCTTTTATCTCGTGGGTGATTTGCTCGTACCTATTATTACTCGTGCCTCTTTTAATGCATCTCTCCAGTTGTTGCTTCCACAGTGATCCACATATCTTGCCATATCAGCCACATATATAAATCCACGTGTAATATTTATTTTTACCAATACAAATAGTCTCCCACATCAGCCACATGGTTATGCTAATTTCATGCATCAATTATGGGCAAGAAAACGCTTAGAATTTTCCTGAAAAGCTGCATTGGTAGTATTACGTCTTGGTAGAGAGAGTCAACCAATTATCAAGCACGATTCAATTGGGACTTTTCATGAGCAAGTACTTTAGGACTAAAAGAATGTATCTTTTGGATCTAAACCAGTTTTTGGTGCATTAAGTTCAAACACAACAATTTTTAGAACGTAGAAATCTGAAGCAAAAACAAAAAGAACATTTCTGCCTCTTGATTATAGATTTTTCGTGTGGAGTGTTGTACTAGATGTGACCAGGAGGTCACGGGTTCGAGCTGTGAAAACAGCCTCTTGCAAAAATGGATAAGACTGCGTACAATAGACCCTTGTGGTCCGGCCCTTCCCCGGATCCCGCGAATAGCAGGAGCTCAGTGCAACGAGCTGCCCTTTATAACGTTGCAGTAGATGTGTACTGTTGTCATTTTTTATTTTTAATACGTATGGAATCCTTAATCAAGAGGCTGGAATCAACTTTCTTTTTGTCCTATATATACCTTCACTGTTTAATTTCATGAACAAAACTACTATATTATAAACACCATTGACGAATGATTCAAAGAATTGTACAAGAGAAAAGAAAATATTTTGAGTCTTAGAGTACTCTGGATTCCAACTTCCTTGTATCAGCTAATTATACATAGTTATATACTCTTGTCTTCATCGTAGTTAAACGGCAGCGGTACGGACTTGAAGGCACGGTATTTTCCAACGTTATTCAAGTGCTCATTTTCCAACCTGAACAATGAAAACAGCACAACTACTGTTAGATACGAATATGTTGTAACAGGTAAACTCTCTTATTTTTCAGGTTACTAATCCACCACTTTTTATGGACGGTAGTTATCTTTTAGGTGACCTGAAAATGTAATCTATAATGGTGTTAGTGCATAGAAGTTAAACTCAATAAGTAATGCATCTGACCTGAAAAAGTTCCACAGGCCACGGCGAAAGATTTCCAAACTGGCTACAACTGCAACAAATGCTTTCTTGTGCAGAAATGGTAGTTCTTGAATATCAAGAACCAACTGCATCCATACTAGTCTCAGAATAATGTCAAGAACCTGCATTTACACTATAAGTAATCAAAAACTTTCACTGCAAGCGTTTTGTAATTTATTTTTCAAACCTGTGTCTGCACTTACAATGGCAACAAAGTAGACAATCTTGTGTGGAACAAGTAGTTTGTCTCTCAACCAACGGTTTTTTGAGTTCCTTTGCAGTAGACCCCAATCTATGACAATATCCCAGTAAGTGTTTGCAACTGTAGTAATTCCTGAAGTTGATGCTGCCATTACTTTCCAAAAAGTTCCTCTCTTCTGATCGTAAAGCGTCCTCATTACAAGAGCAACAATGGTTGAGAAATATTTGAGGCTATTAAGCCCCTGCATCGAATCTTTCTCTTCAAATAAGCGGCGAAGGCACTGTATATATCATGAAATCACACAATGCACCATATTAAATAATTGTCAACATATAAATATTGTCAGAATGATCAACTTTTTGTGTGCAAAAATCCTCACACCTGAATAAACCTAGACCAAAAGGGAATAATTGCAACGACTATGTATAAGATTTGGTAAACACTGCTATCTTGACATTTATTTGATCTTGTTCTGAAGTTGCCCCACACGTAGTAGCAAACATAGAATTGCAAACTTCTAATTGCCTGAACCTGAAATGCAAGAGCACATTATAGTTCTTCCCGATAAGTATTGCAGAATTTGCACACTACACTGACTGAATTATCAATTTAAAAGGAAAAAGCCTGGTGTCAAACCTGGCTGGTAATTTGATCTGCCAAGAAGAAATCTGGCAGAGTAACCTACAAAATGATGTAAGACATTTCAGTATCTATGTACTTCCTGTGATATTACTAATGCGCGTGAATCTGTATATCGATTAAATAAGCTGCTGTTACCTTATAAAGGGGAGCACATAGACAGTGCCAGGCACATCTTATAAGGAAGAAACGACTTGAACGATATATGATGTTCAGAGGACAAAAAGTTATTAGAAGCAGAACCTGAAAAAAAAAATTAAGATCATTAGGGGGTATGAAATTTTTTGAAAACATATTGTATAGATCAGTTATAGAATAAGTAGAAGAAGAAGTAATGTTTTTTCTAGACTTACAACCACCAGGGCAAGTGGTATTAGCTCAGTTACTGTCCCAAAACTTCTTGTTTTTGGATCCATCTCCATATCCAGGTTGGCCAATGCTGCAGCTAATGCAAGTACTGCAAGACCAGAAGCAAGGAGAAGAACTTGTCTGTAACCTAGTTCTGTTCCTTGCTTGAAGCCAAATATAAAGGGATAATTGACCCGAAAACGCCTCCAGTAGTATATGTTCCCCGCGTACATGAGCATATGGAGGACAATGAATCCGAATAGGCTGCAACGATACAACTTTATTACTCATATGTATTGCTTAAAACATGGTTTCGCTTAATGTAGAAAGACAAGGGGAAAGAATCAATACGACTTTGTAAAAGACAGATGGTTAGTTCACCTGTAGAGTGGAAATATGTTATCCATATACTGCCCACGGCCCTTGTGCTCTAGAAGGTTTCCTGCACGTATCGATACAACAATAGCTGCCACTAATGCTATTGAGCATCCAGAGAACAAACCTATAGATGAAAAGTATATCAGTTACTAAAACTGAACATTGCTGTTTTGCATATGCATTATATAGTTCTAACTGAATGCAATGGATTCAGTTAATGCTAATAATTAGGATACATGCGTACCCATGAAAAATGTTACTCTATGTGTTTCTCTTTTAGCTTGTGGTCTTAAAGTTTTCATTCCTTTCCTTCGATTTCCATTGACAAAATGCTTTATAAACGTGGCCTCGACTCTTTCTATGAGCTTAGAAACCTAAACAAGCAAAGATCAAATGTGAAGTTAAAACTATAGTTGCAAGTGGAATAGTGAAACAGCTTTTGAAACTGAAGGAAAATGTACCTCATCTGAGCTACCAAGATAAGATTTATCAACCATCTCTAAGTATGATTTAGAAGCTTTCCTTGAGGTGATCTGTATCAATAAATTGCAAGGTTAAAAAGGCCAAACTTTATACGAGTACTTTCTATTGCCAAATCTTCAATGTAGTACCTTATCATACTTCTTCATGATCTTGGAAAATGCCAACATATTTAAGAAACTGGCCAAATTAAGTAGTTAAGTATGAGTTATATTGAAGACAAAAACAATACTATCATTCTTCATTTATGAGGGCGAAAAAATGCGCCATTACCAGTAGCTTTTTAGAAGTCGAAGCTTTTGATAAAACTCAACAAAAGCCTTTCTTATTTGTTCCTCAGCTTTTCTGAGCTCCTCTTTGCTGAACGATAAGTTCGAATCTGAAATCCTGATAACTTTTCTTAAAGTCGAAACAGGTGTTTCGGGTTCAACATTGATTCTTACATGATCCAAAATCTCTAGTGGAGCAGGCCTAAATTCATTCATCTTTGCTGTATCTCTTCTCTCTGATGTTGCTTCCTTTTCCAGTCTTTCTTCACTTGTCATCTCTACTTCTTGAATTGCCTCCATATGTAACCTACCTATATTTGTGTAAAATCAAGAATTACAACAACAACAACAAACACAGCATATTTTCACAAGTGGGGTCTGAGGAGGATAGCGTGTACGCACACTTTATCCCTACCTATAAAAAGGCAGAGAGGTTGTTTCCGGTAGTGTAAAATCAAGAATTCAAGCAAATAAAATGGCAAATCATGGGATGTAGAAACAAAGCAAGTACCAGCAGCAGCTAAGATTGGACTTACTTGGACTTCTAAAATGAGTAGGATCATTGACTTGTGAACTTTCCATTTCAATTGAAGGTTTATCAACCATAATTCTTAGAGCAATAAGTGCATCCATTTGTTTACTCAACTCATCAGCTTCAGCCTTAACTTCCCCTACTTTTTTCTTGTAAAAAGTTAACACTTTATTAAATTCCTCATCCAATCTTCTAAAGAAAACCATTTCATATTCTCCACCATGTTCAGATGACATAAGAAACATAGTTTGATAATGACCTTCAGATCCTTCTTGTTGTACTGAATTCACTAATATAACTTCATCATCTTGGTCATTATTATTACTCAAAGATAAACTTTTGAAACTGTTGTATCTACTTTGTAATCCACTATATGCTCTATACATAGATAACCTTCTTTTTAAAGATCCTTTTGGGGTGGCTGCAATTTCTGCTAAAGGTGCATTCCTCTTCTTGAAATTCAAGATATCTTTCAATACACCTTTTAAATAATTGTAATCCATATAAGCTTCTTGCCATTCTTGGACCATTTGAGATGCAAATTCTTTCCCAAATTTCATCTTTATCAAAGCTGGTTACTCTATGCTTTTTCTTGAGAAAAATGAACTTTCTTGTTTTACCAAATCCAGAATGAAAAAATTGGTCTTTAAATAAGAATGTTGGATTTGGCTTTGAGCTGTGACTGGAGAAATGGTCAAACAAGTTGTTGTTAAAGGGTAGTCAAAACTAGTTAGTAGTTTCCTAGAATGTCTTAGAAAAAATACAAACTTTTTGAATGTCTGGATAAAATCAACGTGTTCTATTTTCTCCAGATAGTTTATGACTCAAAGAAATTTTCTTACCCCTAATAAAAATGGCAGGACCACCCAGGAATATCACTGTTTCGTCAATCAATATCTCAACTACGTCTCTTAATACTAATAAATTTCATGTAAAATCAGTGGGGCTGTGTCTTAGCTGGTTGCGCAGAACTACAGAGGTGGCCTACTCTTTTTTTTTTGGTTCCCATCGGTGTCCGATACTCTGATTCTCGTAAAAATAGCACGGTATAGCCAGTTTTCGGATTGGTCAATCAAAAATAGCCAGCATTTACCAAGTCAATGAAAAATAGCCACTATTTTGCTGCAATAGAGACCGGTCCAGCATAATATACTGGAGTTCAGTGCACTTGTGTATGAACTCCAGCATATTATGCTGGACCGATATACTTTGCTGGCTCCAGTATAATATACTGCAGACTGGAGCACCGGTGCTCTAAACTCCAATATATTATACTGGACCAATATACTTGCTGGAACTCCAGTATATTATGCTGGAGTTCTAGTGTACTTATGCTGGAACTCCATCATATTATGCTGGAGTTTCAGCATACTTATTCTGGAACTCCAGTATAATATGTTGGAGTTCAAGTATACTTATGCTGGAATTCCAGCATAATATACTGGAGTATTTTCCGGGTTTTGAACAGTGTTTTCGCTCAGATTTATCTTTATAAGTGGCTAAATTTCGATTACTTTTGAAATTGGGCTATTTTTGAACGACCAGTTGTAAATCTGACTATTTTTAAAATTTACCCCTGGTTCCCGCATTAAAGCCCAACTATATGTGGGTTCACGCCGCGTAGGGCCTTATTAAGAGGAAAACGCTTTCTACCAAGAATTTTATCATACCCAGAGCTCGAACCCGAGACATCTGATTAAGGAAAGAACAATCTCATCCACTGCACCACATCCTTTGGTGGTTAATGGTGGCCTACTCTGAACTACACCAGTTAAAGGAATATGGCAGCATCAAATAGCGATTTCTTTATTATATAATAATATAATTGTGGTGTTTGGGCCCTCACACTTTACTATTTCAATTGTATGTATTTGTGTTTATCTTTTACCAGTACAAAAATCAGATAATTCTGTCGTTAAAGACTTAGACAAATGAAAAGAGATTATATTATATTTATTTTAAATTTCGGCAAAAATTTAAACTTTGAGCTTTCATGATTTTTAACTACTTGACTGTTAGGCCACACCGCTCAACAGAAAAAATCTCTAGTTTTTAAATTGTTAATCATCTTGGAGTTTAGTGGTAACAACAATGGTGACATAAAGCGTCCTTATCGTTGAAAACAAAAGCATACCAACTGTAGAAAGATTGTGTTTCATTGTAAAATACTTATTGATTTAAGCAAAATGAAGATTAAATAAATCTGTGTCAAGAGATGCAAATTGGTTGTGTGCTCGAACTGTGATTATATAAACAAGTGTGAGGATAGATATAAGGTCAGACGAAATTATGTATTCAATTAAATCTTTAAACCTTTTATTTTCTGGAAGTCCTTTCAGAAATATAATTAAAATATTACTAATAAATACATAGAATAAAATCCATGATGCAACTTGTTTTTTTTTTCTTACCATCTTTATCTTAATTCTGACTTTGTAAAGTAATTTATCATCAGCTACAAGTTCGAGGCAAGACCATTGGTCAATTTTGGCTCATAAATTTATGTATTTTGTTGTACGATCGAAACTTACTTTGGACTTGGTCTTTCTTGTCAAATACAGTGCTCCATCTGTTCCAGTTTATGTGAATCTATTTTTTTTGTCTGTTTTAAAAAGAATGACCCTTTTTAAATTTGGAAACAATTTAGTTTAAATTTACAATTCTGCCCTTAATGAGAAGCTTTTATAACCACACAAGTACTCTGGGCCCCTTTTTGACTTGTTTAGAACCACAAATTTCAAAAGTCTTCTTTTTTTTCTTAAACACCGTGCCCCGTCAAACAGGTTCATATAAATAGGAATGGAGGGAGTAGTATTTTTTTCTTTTTAACCATAGGTCGCATCAACCCATTTTAGGGAAACGTTTCCTATCAGTATTTTTCCTTCCCGGAATTTAAACTCATAACCTCTAGTTAAGAGATTCTCAAATTTAAACCCATAACCCCTAGTTAAGAGTAATGGATTATATTTATCACATTATTTGTGAAATTCTTTTCTTTCTTTCAGCTTTAAAACCTTGTCAAAGAAAAGAGAAGTAAACAAATTACATGGAACTTATTTGTTTATGTTCATGGAACTTATCCATTCACCTTTCTCAATTGATAATTATTTCTAAGAGACTTGTACATTTACCTTTCTTCTTCACTCTTCTTCTTTCTTTCACTTCACCTCACCCAATTAGTACCCAAATCTTCTATAGGAGTATATAGTTACTCTTCTTATTCGCTTTCTTTATTTTCTTTCCATTCACCTAATCCAACTGGTATAAGAAACTTAGGGAATATAATTATACTTCTATATTTCTTCTAAACTATCCTTATTTTCTTTAATTCCATGTTGTACCAACATATACTTTTCTCTTCACTATATTCAAGAATATTTTATACTACTTACTATTCATGGGTCTATACACTTGCTTCAACATACCCAACGGTCACGCCCGTTGACCTTTTCTCCCAACACATTTTGTTGATTTCTTTTAATTATTCCCTCAATATGCTAACTCATACAAAAACGGATTTAGGATTTAAAATCTAGTCGGTTCAACCCGTAAAGTATTACTCCCTCCGTTCCAGCTTATGTAAACCTTTTTTTTTTTGGATCCGTTCCAAAAAGAATGACTCCGATCCTTTCTAAATTTGAAATAATTTAGCTTAAACTTAGAATTCTACCCTTAATGAGAAACTTTTATAATCACACAAATACTCTGGGTCTCTTTTTAACTTGTTTAGGATTACAAATTCCAAAAGTCTTCGTTCTTTTTAAAATTCATGGTCAGTCAAACAGGTTCACCTAGCTTGGAACAGAGGGAATAACACTGAACTTATTATACTTTTAATATTTAACTGTTAAAAATAGAATCCTATTTATGGTGAATGTCCATATTTAGAGAGATTCTAGGGTTTATTACTTGGTGGCTAAGTCACCATCTCCCTATAAATAGAGGGTTCTATTCCATTGTAATTCATCCCAAATCAATAAGAATTCTCTCTCCCTACTTTTCTCTCCAATACTCTTCTTCTTCTTTTATTATTTTATAACACGTTATCAGCACGAGACTCTACCGTCTCAAGAAGATTAAGAAACATGTTTTATGTTTTCAATATCCAGTTGCGCCTATGTTGAAAAATCAGCACGAGACTCTACCGTCTCAAGAAGATTAAACATGTTTTATGTTTTCAATTGTAAAAATATTTGTTTAATTGATTCATGTACGACACATACAATATTCAAAGAGAAGAAATATTTCTCTCATTTAAGTATGTGTAAGGCAGATGTTACTACAATTTCTGGTAGTAGTAATTTAATTGAAGGATCTGGAAGAGCTACTATAACTCTGCCTAAGGGAACAATACTTATCATAGAGAATGCAATGTTCTCCTCCAAGTCCAAGAGGAACTTGTTGAGTTTTAAAGATATCCGCCGAAATGGATATCATATTGAGACAATAGATGAGAATAATCTTTAATATCTCATTATTACCAAAAATGTCTCTAGCCAGAAAAGGGCTATTGAGAAGTTCCCATCTTTATCTTGTGGCCTGTATTGGACAAGAATTAGTGCAATTGAGGCACATTCTATTGTAAACCAAAAGGTTACTGATTCCAATACGTTTGTACTTTGGCATGATCGATTGGGACATCCTGGATCAATTATGATGAGACGGATTATAGAAAACTCAAATGGGCATCCATTAAAGAATTTAAAGATTCTTTTAAATAAAGAAATTTCTTGCACTTCTTGTTATCAAGGCAAGTTAATTATTAGACCATCACCAACAAAGGTTGGAATTGAGTCCCCTGCGTTTTTGGAACGTATACAAGGGGACATTTGTGGACCTATTCACCCACCTAATGGGTCGCTTAGATATTTCATGGTCTTAATAGATGCATCTTCTAGATGGTCTCATGTGTGCCTACTGTCATCACGCAACCTCGCGTTTGCAAAATTAATGGCACAAATAATTCGATTACGGGCGCAATTCCCCGATAATCCAATTAAGTCTATTAGACTTGATAATGCTGCTGAGTTTCCATCCCAAGCATTTAATGATTATTGCTTATCAATTGGGATAAAAGTGGAACATCCTGTAGCTCATGTTCACACTCAAAATGGCCTTGCAGAGTCTTTAATTAAACGTCTGCAATTGATAGCAAGACCGTTACTCATGAAAACGAGGTTACCCACTTCTGTTTGGGGTCACGCCATTTTGCATGCAACAATGCTAGTTCGTCTCAGACCGACAAATTATCATAAATATTCCCCGTTGCAATTAGTTTTGGGTCATGAACCTAATATATCCCATTTAAGAGTTTTTGGATGCGCGGTATATGTGCCTGTAGCACCATCATATCGCACCAAAATGGATCCACAAAGAATGTTAGGAATATATGTTGTGTTTGAATCGCCCTCCATTATTCGCTACCTCGAAACATTGACGGGGGAATTTGTTTACTGCACGATTTGCAGACTGTCGATTCGATGAGACACTCTTCCCAAAATTAGAGGGAGAAGTTGGTGACAAACGGGAAATTTTGTGAAAAAATCCATCATTATCTCATCTTGATCCACGTGCCTCTATTTGTGAAAAAGAGGTGCAAAAGATTATCCATTTGCAGAGAATAGCAAATCAAATGCCAGACGCATTTACGGATTTGAAAAGGATAACAAAATCACATATCCCTGCAGAGAATGTTCAAATCCGTATTGATGTCCCTATTGGACAATCTTCTAGTGTCATAACTATTGAGTCAAAAGCACGCCTAAAACGTGGCAGACCATTAGGTTCCAAAGATCGAAATCCTAGAAAAAGGAAAACAAACGATCAAAATGACACTACGAAAGAATCTCATGAAGAAATCCACG